TTTTAAAATGTTAATCAAATACAGTTTCTATCAATAAAGAGAGGATGTATAATTTAGTTCTCCAGCAAAATTAACCAAGGTGAGCAATCTTCTTTGTTTACTTGAGAGTTGAATTTAAAATTGAAAGTGAAGGCATAAAGAGACCTGCCTGAATCCTTGGTAGTTTGGTTGACGTCCCAGTTTTTCAGAGTCATCTTCTTATAAAGGTAAATATGCAGCTTGTACCTTGCTGGGTGAAGAAACTTGGAAAAATTACGCCCTTGTATATTGAAGGCTTTACTGCACAGCTGTTTAGCAAGGGATGTGGTGTCTAGGAAGGGAAGAGAGGAAGAAGAACATTTTGAATTACATAGCAGCAACAGGAATATACTTTTACTCGGAATGTTTTCATTATCTGCTTTCATTATGCATTTGTCTTTCTCTGACTAGACACCAAAAACGTTCTGTATGTCAAATTACCTTCTCTCTGCTTTTTTTCCTCAATCTGAGGTTCCTTCATTTAAAAATAATGAAGTAAAAAACAGTGGCTTACACCCAAGACTATTGATACTGTATATACACATACGTACATGCACACATACACCAGCATACATAAATACTAATTAATTATGACTAATGGAATGTGAAGGGGATTTGACCACAATGTATGAAGAGTAGCTAAGACTGAGTTTATTATTTATAGAACATTCCCACTGACACGTAAGCAATCCTTTGTAATGCTAGACTCACATAACAGTTTTAACTGGCATTGAACCTATACAATTGATAATTGTATAATAATATGCAGTTTCAGTTACTAGACTAGATACTTAAGCAGTATAATGAAGCACACAATTGGTTATGGATTGTGGAAATCAGAGGAGAAGCCCAAGCTGGAGATTAAAATTTCTAGTCATAATAATACTGGCATTTTTAACACTATGAGATTGGACCAGATTGAGCAAGGGAATGAGTATAAAGAAAAGACGAATAACATCTCACTTCTGGGCCACTCCAAATTTAAAAAGTCAGGGAGAAAAAGAGAAACTAGCAAAAGAGAATGAGAAAAAATGGATTGTAAGATAGGAAGAGAACTGAGGAGGTGTTGTCGTGAAAGGATAGTGAATGATGTTTAAATGCTGAAGATAGGTCAGGTAGGATAAGGACTGAAAATAAATACTGCTTTTAGCAATATAAAAGTCATTGGTGATTTTGAGAAAAGCGCTAGCTTTCAGTGGCAGAGGCAAAAGTATGATTGAAGTGGGTTTAAGAAAACTTGGGAGAGTGAGTACAGAGGGAGGTGAGCACTTGAGATCTAAGGAGTGGGTTCTGTAGATGCACAATAAATAATTCCTGGAAAACATGATTTATTTCTTCTTTCCTAAAATGTATTTAAGTGATAAATAATTTGAAAAGCTTTACCATTGTCTTTTTTAACATTGTTGACTCTACTTGAAAGGTTTCATATTAGAGATGATGAAATTGTTAAATTGTCACCAGTTAGTAAGAACAAAGTTCTGTAGTCTCAGTCTTCTGGTACAAGGTGCTCAGAAATTATCAGCATTTCCTTGTTTTAATATCAAAAATGGTATGGTTTTTCTTTTTCTCTGTTTTGCCTTCCAAGGCAACAAAATAGTATGTTTTACAGACTTCATTTTTTTTTTCTTTTGGCTTCAGTTTTACTTTTGTCTCATTGAAAAAGACTCATGCCCAGATTCTTTTCAAGCAAAACCCAGTATTTAAATATAATGTTTAACCCATAATCACAGACTGTGTAGTTACATATATGAGGTTATCTTAATGAAAGTAAATGATTTTTAAAATACCACCTTGTTTCAATTGATCTGTTTTTAAAATATTTCTCATCCCATTCACCAGTGATTTCAGGAGAACAGAATAATTCAGATTTTTGAGGACACTTACTTATGTTATATGGAAGAAATATAATTGAATTAGAGTTTTGATGCATGGGCCCATTAAAGAGCTAAGTATAACAGTATTATTATTATTTAAATTCCACATTTTAACTCTTAAAAGAAGTATTTATCTCAATATTTCTTTCTACTAATTTGTCCCATCAGTCTTACTTTTTGATATTCATTTGCATTCTATAAATTCGAAAAACCTATGATGACTCTTCCTGTCTAACCACTTAAAAATCAGTAGACCTGAGTCTGGACCCATGCTGTGTATGTTACTTAAAATTTATGTGGCCTTGAATATAAATCTAATCTTTTTATGGCCATCATTTCAAAAATACAGATTTTCAAATCTGGACACATAAATAGCATAAAGGAAGTGGGGAGACAGACATCTGGTTAGCAAATTGAAACACCTCAAATACAACAAAATATATAGCAGCAATCCAAAAATATTAATTATTACTAACACTAAACTGATATTAGAGTAAACATAGGCAGAGCCTTTATATGTTGTTGTTATAGATATCAGGAAGTTAAGAATTAGATTATTTTCATAGGTGTAATTTGAATTTTATTTCTTTTTTCATTGAATCACTTTGTTTTCATCATTTGCAAGTAATACATTTTTACTGGCTTCACAGCTGGCAGTAGAAACTAACGACATATGATCTGAATGTAAAATGTAAGCTTATTTCATTATTATACAATTTTGCTTTTTCTATCCTCCTCGCCATCTGTATATTGTATGTTTGTGTGTGCTCATTGGGGAAAGAAGACAGTTATAGAATTTGTGATTATTCATAGCATTATGATGTCCTGGATATGACATGCTAGTTATTAGAATAATTAGATATAAAATAAAGAGAGATAAAGAGAGAGATAAAAAAATATGTTCAAAATGCCTTGCATGTGTGAACTGCTCTAAGCCTATAAGAGTGAAACAGAGGATTCCTGCTTAAATCATTTCAAGGTCATTGGGTTGGAAGTCCATATGGACCAATTAGTTTTACACCATGAAAAAACAATGTTTTCCAGGCATAGACTGTACCTCTTGCCCTGGTCAGCTGTCTCCAGAAAGCCTGATGTAGGTCACAGAGGGAACTCTTAAAAGAACATCCATGGCTCAGCACAAATTAATCACAACTGCTGGATAAGAAATACTTCATCCATACTGATGGTGTTAGCAGCATACCTGGTTATGTGCAAAGGATACGTAATTCCAGACAGGGCCAAACATTATTCCAGAACTATCCTTCATAATGCAAAGGAGGATCTCAGAGTGTTTTGTGCCATGGACTACATTGATACTCCATTGCCAAATGAAAAGTTAAATGCATAAGATAAACTGTTTAATATTACTAAGAAAATCTAGTATATTATTTAAATAGAGATATCAATATATTAAAAATCAAATATAAGTAGTTTTTTAAATCAATGTATTATATGACATTACTTCCCTATGGGTTTATTAATTATCATAATTTCTCAATAATAATTGGCATAAATAATATTTCAACAAATCATTCAATATAACTAATATGAAAGAAAATATATTGTAATATTTCTTGGTGAAAAGTCATCCCAAACAATACCACTGTAGTCTGTTACCTACCTTTTTAATAGATGAAAATGTTAAATTACAATTAGAAGAAAGTGAAAAAAAATTATCTTCTGGAGGCTGAATTTCTTTCCGCATGTTTTAGCAGAGCTCTCCAGCTGAACTATTTATAAAGTACTGTCACCATCTCATCCAGAAAAGCACACCAGAGTTCAATATCAAATATTTTATTCTCATTTTAATTGATTTCAAAATGCAACTATTCTCACAATGGGGAAAACATATAAACAAAAGTTAAAGACAGAATCTGAATTCATTTAATAAATGTATATGTAATTAAATTATATCCATGTTTTCACATAAAAGTTGGAGGAGATTTTCTAGATGTCAATTGTGATGAAATCTTTAAATTAAACCTTCTGATACACATATAATAAAATACATTTTTTAAGAAAACAGAAAGTCTGTTTTTCTATTCACAGCATGATCATGTAAAGATTTCCTAAGAAAATGTATTAGAAATAGAATTTATTCAATTTCTTAAATTTAAGGGGAGAAAAAAAAGAAAATCTATACATAATATAAGAATATTAATTTTACTTGAAAAACATTTTTGTTTAATATTGAAATTCCATAGCTTCTAAAATATTACAGTAAAATTTATTTCTGTTATTTTTAGTAAGCTTTTGGGGACTTTCATTGGCAATAAATATAACTTTTATATAGAATTATGATTTATTTGGGAATTGTCAACATTTCTTTTGACTGCAGTAACAAAACACGATAAGCTGGATTTATTATAAACAAGGAACATTTATTTCTCACAGTCCCTGAAGGTGGAAATGCCAAGACTCAGACAATTGTAAATTTGGTGTCTGCTGAGGGCCCACTTCCTCACAGAGGGCGCTGCTTTCTTGCTTTGTTCTCACATGGTGGGAGGTAGAGCAAAGGGGCTCTCTAGAGCCTTTTCTGTAAGGGCATTAATCCCACTAATGAGGGCTCTGCCATCCCGCCTTATCATCTTCCAAATGCCACATCTCTTAGTACCATCACCTTTGGGGTTAAAATTTGAATATGTGAATTTTGGGGGTACAAAAGCAATTCGATAATAGCAGAGATTTAATCATTAGTGTAAAATGAAAAGACATAGAAGAGACAAAGATTATATGTGTAGTTCTTTTTTTGGGTTACTATTTTTTCTGTCTTTTGTTTAAATATTTATCAGTGGTATGCTCATCTCCATTTTTAATTTTCTGACTAAATATATTTAAACACAATTACCTGTCCTGTATTCAGTAAAAATGACAGTAATTTATTGTAATGCATTTTTTAAAATATATACTGGGTTTTAAAACAGGAGACTGAAGTAATTAAGCCTCTCTGGATTTTCATTTCCTCATTTACGTTTTCAAATGGCCTTTTAAAGAATTTCTTCTTTATATAATGATATTTGTTAAAAAGAGAACCATATATATTGCATGAAAATTGAAACTCCAAAAAGAGTATGACATTACTTTTTAATTTTATTTTTTAAATTTTAGGCTGAACAAGACAATGGTCATCCTCTTCCCGCCTTTGCCAGTCTACACATTGAAATACTGGATGAAAACAATCAAAGCCCATATTTTACAATGCCCAGTTATCAAGGCTATATTCTGGAATCTGCCCCAGTGGGAGCAACCATTTCGGACAGTCCCAATTTGACCTCTCCTTTAAGAATAGTAGCTCTGGACAAGGACGTAGAAGATGTAAGTTAAATATATATTTTGCTCTATAGTAGCTCTGGACAAGGACGTAGAAGATGTAAGTTAAATATATATTTTGCTCTTGTTTGTGTAACAAATCTCATGTTATATTTCCATTAATAGGAGATATGACAAAGATATGGCATATAAGTTAGAGAAATGAGAATTAAAAGTCACTATAAGTGAGTTTTAGTGTTATAATTTAATTCCAAAACAAGGATATTTTTTAAAAGTATGTTTGAATTCAATAACTATTCCTTTTCAGTTTGCAGACTGTCAGTATATGTAAGAAAATGAATGCTTTACTTGATGTTTATTAAATGAGGAGGGCAATATTTTTATTAACATGTTGAGAACTATTTTATGTAATTGTTGATAAAGCAAAAATGATGGTGTTACTACATGAGTAAAAAATCATGAAGACATCCCTAGATTGTTATTCTGGGAGACTTCCCTTCAAGTCTGAGGGCATCGTTATTAAATAAAATATATTTGAGGCAGCAGACCCATTCATATTTCTGCCAATGACTGTGTGGATGCTAACACTTCATTCCACACATCATTGTCCTTTGTGTTTCCGGTACTCACACCACCTACATGAGTGAGAAGTGGTCCAGGCTGAGCAAGTCAGAACGCTTTACCTCCTTAGCCAGACTGAATGTTGTAAAGGGACAGAAAATCTATACCAGGCTAGCCAGAATCCTCTGGGGAATTTACAATGGAGAACCAAAGTCCTGAAAAACTTTGGCATCATGTATTAGAGAAGCGGAAATCAGTCTGAAGCCTTTGTAGACACATTCGCTGACATCATGAGAAGGCCAATTATCAGTGGGAGAGAATGAAGCCTGAGAGGTACACACAGAAAAGAGAGTCCCATTGAGTCCCTGTCTTTTAATTAGAAGTTCCCCAGAGGTATTCAAATTCCCAAAGATTTTCCTTTGATTTTATGAACTACCACAGTATCCTCACTGCATAAATATGTATACATATATTTTGTGTATGTATTTAAATAGATATACACAGATATATATACACATATATATACACACATCCATATATACATATATATATACACACACAGATATATATTTTATATATAAAACAGCAAGTAAGAAATTTAACTATGTTTGGATTGTAAACATAACTGTATGTAAAACATAGTTGGATTTCTTACTTGGGGTTATATGAGTCCTGACTCAGCCATTTCTCTCTTAACAGTGCTTATTCTTAGATAGAACTTTTTGTGAAGATGGAGATACTGTGTAACTGTACTGTCCAGTATAGTAGCCACTAGCCTTATATGGTGACTATATATTCAGCACTTAAAATTTTACCAGACTAAAAATATAACTTTTACATTTTGCTCAGTATAAGACAATTAAATAGTCACATGTCACTCACAAGGCAGCACAGCCCTAGAATGACCCCTAATAATCTCATTACACATAGCTTCCGAATCACTTTTAGAAATTAAGAAAGTGCTTTCAGGTTTTTTTTTTTCTTTCTATATAAATTATGTGACACTCAGTTGAGGCTATGACAATTCTTGTGAGTACTACGCCTTTTCCCATCAGCTGTTTTATTTTATTCTTTTATTTCTCTTTGATTTGTTTTCTTCTTCCATTCCAGCTTTTTGTTTTTATCCTTCCTGGTCTCTCACATTTCATTTAGTGTCTTCTTAAACAACAAGTTTTAACAATATCTGACTGTCATTGAGTTGTCTGTACATGTCAAACAAAATAGTAAATACTTTTTTCTTCCATTAATTCCCTTAAATCTCACAACAAACGTAATAGATACAATTATCCATAGTTCAGAAAGGAGGATTAAAGGTATTTTAAATGCCTAACCATGATCACAGAGTTAGTACATAGTAGAGATGAACCTTAAGCCAAGGTTTATGGAAAGCAAAGTTCTCAATTTTAAGTACTCTGTATTGTATATACTTTGATCATAGTCTGACTCTAATGATAGCTGAAGAATTCTCTAGGTTCTCTTCCTAGAAAAGTGAACATATTAAGGTATACTCAGTTCCATATGTCAGTCAAGAGAATGTAGGGATCCTCTGAAGTATAGCAGGTTTCATGAGTCACAGGGAAAAAGTCTTTATTTTTTGAATCTACACTAGAAAACACCCAAAGCCATCTTAATAATTTTAATCCAGGCAAAGCAAATGTATTTTGTAGATCTACTGATATCCCACACATTTTAGTGTAGATTTTGTTTTTTAATTCAATACATATTCAATACTTCTGTTGCACAGGCTGTCTTGGGTAACTTATACTCAGTGTTTAGAGCTCAGCTCAGGTATTCCTTTATTCAATAATCTTTCCACAGTATTCATTATCCAATTTCAGTTGCATGCCTCCTCTCAACGCATTTCTCTAATGCTATACTTGTAACTTGAAAATATTTTCTTTCTCCCTCATTGAGTTTACATCTGTTCAGGATAGAGCCTATCTTACCAACTTACGTGTCCCAAAGAACTAACACAGTTTCCAGCAGTTCGTATGCTTTAGTAATTCTTTGATGAACTCATAAATCCAGTTACTATTGAATGAATGAGGATATCTAACATATGCTTCAAGAATCCTAATGAGGTTGCATTAAGTATTTCACAAGATGGCCCGTCCCACGTTTGAACAACTCTAATTCTTAGAAAACTGTTCCTCATACAGAGTTAAAACCAGTTTTCTTATAACTCATCCATGATTCCTCAAATCTTCCATTTGCCAGCACACAAAATAAATCTATGAAATAGTCATTAATGTATTAGAAGATGGATTTGTGTCCTTCTGAATCATCTGTTTATACAGACCAAGTACCATTTACTTCTATATAGCAAATTAGTTTATTTCTGGGATTGTCAAATTATCTGTATTAACAAAGGAAAACTTTAAGGTCTTTTTACTTTATGGGCACAAATTTTACTACATGGTGAAATCGTGCCACTCTGGGCTGGGTGTGGTGGCTCATACACTTGTAATCCCAGCACTTTGGGAGACTGGAAGATTGCCAGGAGTTCCAGACCAGCCTGGGCTACAGAGGGAGATGCCATCTCTACAAAAATAATAATTTTTTAAAAAAGCTTAGCCTGGCATGGTGGTGCATGCTTGCAGTCTCACTAATTGGGAGGCTGAGACAGAAGGATCGTTTGAGCCCATTAGTTTGAGGCTGCAGTGAGCCATGATTGCACTACTCCACTCAGACTAGATGACAAATTGGGACCCTAACTCAACAAAATAAAACAAAATCCTGTTGCTTTGGAGTGTCAGAATTAGTGACAATAATCATTATAGGGATAAACTCTTCGAGAGAGAGGGAGGGCCGGGCGTGGTGGCTCACGCCTGTAATCCCAGCACTTTGGGAGGCCGAGGCGGGTGGATCACGAGGTCAAGAGATCGAGACCATCCTGGTCAACAACATGGTGAAACCCCGTCTCTACTAAAAATACAAAAATTAGCTGGGCATGGTGGCACGTGCCTGTAATCCCAACTACTCGGGAGGCTGAGGCAGGAGAATTGCCTGAACCCAGGAGGCGGAGGTTGCGGTGAGCCGAGAATGCGCCATTGCATTCCAGCCTGGGTAACAAGAGCAAAACTCCATCTCAAAAAAAAAAAAAAAAAAAAAAGAGAGAGAGAGAGAGAGAGAGAGGGAGACTTGCCACCTCATGCAATATCAGCATAGTATTAGAGAATAAGCCTCGAGCAGAAAAGCGGAAGTTGTCATTACAGGGGTTGGCGCTCATTAGTTTCTTCAAGTATAGCTATTCCAGATGGCAAATGCCAAGAAGGGGACAAGTTTGGATTAATTTTCTGAAAATTTAAGTTGTGTTTCTCCCTTTAATTTAGTGAAAAGTGAAACCATGTTTTGAGAAATAATAGCCAGGAGCTGGGCACAGTGGCTCAGGCCTATAATCCCAGCACTTTAGGAGGCTGAGGCAGGTGGATCATGAGGTCAGGAGTTCAAGACCAGCCTAGTCTAGATGGTGAAATCCTGTCTCTACTAAAAATACAAAAATTAGCTGGGCATGGCAGTGTGCGCCTGCAATCCCAGCTACTCGAGAGACTGAGGCAGAGAATTCCTTGAACCACGGAGGTGGAGGTTGCAGTGAGCCGAGATCATATCATTGCACTCCAGCCTAGGCGACAGAGTGAGACTCCATTTCAAAAAATAAAAAAAAAGTAGCTAGGAATGTGAGCTGTGGTATTATTCACAGGGTAGATTTTGAATAAGAAAGAATGCCAAGGGCCACAGTAAAACTAAAAAAGAAGAAAGCAAAAATATTTACACCAGTGTTCCTTTTTTATAGCTATATAGATGTGGACATAAATACACACACACACACACACACACACACACATGTGTATAAATGAATCATATCAGTTTATACAGCAAGCTTTTAAGAGTACTTGTACCACATCATAATTTAAAAATAACCCACAATATAAGTAGACTAGATGAGGCACAAGGTTTTTTATAAGAGGTATGTCTGAGACCACTGGGATTTCAGTGTCAGAGATGCTAAAAATTGATTATTGAATTCTGATTATAAAAAAACAAGGGATAATAATTAATAAAGATTACCCATTTGGATTATAGAAAGATACTTATTAATTTATAATTTTATGTAAATTTGTTCTCCTTTATAAAGTTATTAATTTTAATATAAAGAGGTATCTTTGATATTTAATTCAATATACTCTTAAAGCTGTTAAGTATTTATAGGCTTTATAAATATTGTTATGCCATTATATGTGGGTCACAATACTAAGGAAAAAATTGTATACTGTGAAAGAAGTTGTTAGTTTAGTATGCTGGAAGTGGTTTGCTTTTTCTTCATATGTGCAGTTGTGATCATTTGCAATTTTTATTTTATGTTTAATTTGCATATAGGTTCCACCCGATGGAGTTCCTGTAGGTACTAGGTGTTAAGCTTGTGATTGTTCTTTTGTTAATTGCTGTGGTTAATTTCCTTGTTCTTTTTCTTTTTCACTAAAACATGTAGGCATTACTTCATTATCACTTATAAGGATATTTACAACTACTTTATATAAATTTAAATATACTTCAGGATATTTATAACTATATGAATTTGAATATACTTCATTGGTTTAGAATTTAAATATATTTTAAAGTTAAAAAAGGTAAAAATATTTACATCATCTATTGTTTATAGTACTATAAAATTGTATAAAACTCAGATTTCTCAATTGAGACAAAGACAGCTTAATTATTAATGTTTTCTGAGTCTATGACAAATTCTGGTAATTCATCATAGCATTCTTTCTAAATTATTGTATTTTGAGCGACATATTTCAGGCAACTATGGCCAACTAATTAAAACTGGCTGAGGAGATACAATTTTTTGTCATTTTTTTGTTATGCATTGTCATTTATATGTATACTCATACATATGCATACATATATGTGCACATATGTATATATGTCTGTGTTGTGTGTGCCTACATACTTGCATGCATATAGTCTTGTGTGTTTGTGATATTATATTTTATTCCCATTAGAAAATGGATGTTTAAACAGTAAGACTCATATTTGAATGTAGTTTTTAATATGATAGAATCCTTGTTTATTTTACATTCATATGTTTGTTTACCCATGTGTTTGCATATGCATTTACTTTCACATTTATTTTCTGTTTTGATGTGTGCATGTCAGAGCTTACTTTATTCTCTCAGAAAATAATATGTATGTAGATAAGTGAATAAATATATCATACTTTTGGTGTATACCGAATGGATATTTAAGGGTGCAGTATATATTACCTAATGTCAGGGGAAAATTAACATTTTTTAATCAACTCTCTGTGTACCTATTGATTTAACACTTAAATTCATTTGAAGTAAACTTATAAACATGACAGCTACCTAAAATCTACTATCCCTATTGGAATATTAAGCCTGAGCATTATTTGTCGATATACATCCTATTCTTTGAAACGGATAAGCTATTAACTCTAACATGATTAAAAGTGTACAAATGTACAAGTGTTAACTTCCTCTTTAGGAATTGCAACATTCAAATATGGTTGTGAGATTCAAACTGTGTATCAGTATGTAGCTTGATAAGAAGGAATTTACGTTTATAAATAAATTTAGAGAAGGATATTTGACCTCAAATGCACGTTGTTCCTTACCAAAAATTTGATACACCTTTCTTGTGGAGAGTAGCAAAACCTGTAACTCTAAATAATGTGAATCAAAACAATAGATTAGTTGGTACTGATATGTATCCATCGACATTTTATGTTGATATAACATAAAATTTTTATAATACTCATAAAATGATATGCTGTAATATTTTGAATATAGATATATACACAACATTTGAAACTTGCACTGTATTTAAAAATAAATCTAAAATATTAAGCATTGAGTGGTAATTTGTTGAACATTTCCAAATCTGGCTTCCTAAATTTTTGTACTTATATTAACACAAGGATATTTACCAATAGCATTTATATATGATTATTATTTTAAATATATATAAATGTAAATACTATATTTTGATCAGAGATTAACTATAAATATTAGAATGAGCTATAATATGCCATGTATAGTTATAGTTTTTTGTAATGCATTATCTTCACAGAAAACAAATACAGTATAGTTCTGAGAAGTGTTATCTTTCTCTAGCTAGTTATTATTAAAACACTTTGCCAGGCATGGTGACTTACACTGTAATCCCAGCATTTTGGAAGGCCAAGGTGGGCGGATCACAAGGTCGAGAGAGTGAGACCATCCTGGGCAACATGGTGAAACCCTATCTCTACTAAAAATTCAAAAATTAGCTGGGCATGGTGGTGCATGCTTGTAATCCCAGCTACGCAGGAGGCTGAGGCAGAAGAATCTCTTGAACCCAGGATGCGGAGGTTGCAGTGAGCCGAGATTGTGCCAGTGCACTCCAACCTGGGAACAGAGGGAGACTCCATCTCAAAACAACAAAACAAAAGCACTCAAGAAGCTGAGACAGTTAAATTAGCAAAATTTATTATTGTTAATTTATAATTATTAATTTTGTTAATTTATAAATTAAGAAAAGATCTTCAGTGTCTCTGGTTATCCACTATGAGGAACTCTGTTTACGGAGTATGGATGTGTGCATTATCTTCAAATGAAAAGCATTGACAAACAAAACCTTGAGGCTTTCTTTAAAGTGGTAAAAAGTAAGTACTACTTGTGACACAAACATACTACAGTCACATTTGGACACACTAGCCCACAACTCAATACTGCAATATTGCATTATCAAAACGGCACACAAAATCCTTAAAAAGGTGTGGTGAAGATATGAGTGAATATGCATTGCAAATTTATTAAGAGAGGTTACATTTGAAAGGAAGAAAATAAATTGAAAGAGAATTAAGGTATAAAGGAAGCAGAGAATGATGGAACAAAAGGAACTAGAGAATGATTTGAACAAAAGGAACAAAGTGTAAGTATTTGGTAAGCAAGTTAAATAGCAAAGCTTCCTCAGCTTGCTTTTAGGGCTTAAATATCTGAATAAATAAGGCATGCCAGATGGTACCATTGTTGGTAATTTAGAGAAGCCTATATGTACTTAAAAGCCCAGTGATTAGGTAAATCCAGGATAAACACAAAACTAATGGCAGACATTCATACTTACATAGCTTTTCTTTGACTGAATGGTGTGTTAACTAAAACTTTTGATCACCTTTAAAGTAATAATTGAATTTAATTACTTCATGCTAAAGTATAAAATAACAAGAATCCTTAAAATATAATTCCAAAAGAGACATGCATTTTCTAATGGACTGTAATTAATTAATTAATTAGTTATTGAGACAGTGTCTCACTCTTTCACCAGGCTGGAGTACAGTGGTGTGATCTCTGCTCGCTACAACCTCTGCCTCCCAGGTTCAAGTGATTCTCCTGCCTCAGCCTCCTGAGTAGCTGGGACTATAGGCCTGTGCCACCACGCTCAGCTGGTTTTTGTATTTTTAGTAGACATGCGGTTTCACCATGTTGGCCAGGGTGGTCTCAATCTCTCGACCTCATGATCCACCCGCCTGGGCCTCACAGAGTGCTGGGATTACAGGTGTGAGCCACCACACCCAGCCAAATTATTTTTAAAATTAACTAACGTGGATATTTTAGAATATCTCACTTTCTAGGTATACTGACTAATTAATTGGGCTCATGACACTGAAATGGAAACAATTGAAGTGCCTGTTTGAAAATGTCAGTGTGTGAAGCCTCTTGAACTTTTTCTCAATATTTTTGGTCATTTTATAGTCAAGACACCAACTGGAATTACTATCTGTAGTATTTCTTATTGTTCCAGGCTAAATGTGGCATAGTGACCTTAAGTCTAAATCCTGAATGTAGAAGCTACTACAGAATGAGATTTATGAATACATAATTTGTTTTAGGTTCAAATAAAACCAATTATTTCCCTACACATATTGAAGCTTTTTAAAGATGGGCAGATTATATTGTGGATCAAAACTTGTTCACATTTTACTATAGTAGTGTGCATGACAGCTTTAGTATTTTACATATGAATGCTGAAATTTTGATATCTATTTTTTCAAATTAAACACATTTAACGATTTTCTACTCTTTGCTCTTCCCTTGGCCCTTAACACCGGAGTTAGAAACATGTTTTATGATATTAAATTCATTTCATATCATGGTACGCATACTTTAAAAAATACTATAGTCAAGAAAAACACCTTACCTCCCTGTATTACTTCTTTTTCTCTTTTTCATAGCCTTCCTAATAGTCTGCTGTCTCAATATTCCTCTTGTCTTTGCTCCACCTGCCTGTCTTTTCTACTACGCAGACTTCAATACTAGTCTTCCTACTCTATATTACTGCTCTTTCTCTAAATTAGAGTATGATGTCTTCTCTTCAGGGGTGGTGATGAAATTGCAAAGAGTCTTCAATGCTATGTTGATTATTTCTCAGACATGAATTTTTAAATCCTTTTCAAGTATATATTATTTTTTCTATACTTTTATATCAAACACATTTGCTAAATTTATGCATCTTTTGAATAGTTTAGCTCATTTATGAGTAAATATCTAGTTAAATATTGTTTATCTTTAGAAATACTTAATACCTTTATGTGGATTTTTGCAATAAGTTTCAAATATTAACTTCTAGGTAATAAACTAATAGCTACATTATTTATTCAATGTTTGAAACAATGTCATTTTTTTAAATAGACAAAAGACCCAGAGCTTCACCTTTTTCTGAATGACTACACCTCAGTCTTCACTGTCACACAGACTGGTATTACTCGCTACCTCACCTTACTTCAACCAGTGGATAGGGAAGAACAGCAAACTTACACCTTTTCGGTAAAGAGATTTTGTATAAATATACATATGTATGTATGAATGTATGTATGTATGTTTGTATGGAACTGAAAGAGATGTCTGGTTAAAACTGAAAATGTTAATGACTTGGGGGAAAAATACATTATTTTCAACACCAGAGAGAAGATCGATAAAAAATTATTTACATGTGTCTCTCTTTTGTTTGTCATTTGTGTAGCTATATTCACATTCCTCATCACAGAAGAAAAAAATTTTTTTCAAAATAAAATAAAGTGATAATTTTAGTCTTTACCAAATAGTCATAATTGGCTTAAACTGAAATATAAAGAATTATTTCCTAAGCTTTTTGGTTATCGTTTTTGAATTTTAATTTTGTCATAGGGTTGAGCTAGTGGTTCTCAAGAGGGAAAAAATTTTTCTTCTAGTGAACATTTAGCAACATCTAGAGGCATTTTTCTTTGTCACAATTGTGTAGAGGTACTATAGGCATCTAGTAGAAAGACATAAAGGATATTGCTAATTATAATACACAGAACAGCCCCCCATAATAAAGAATTATTTGTTCCAAGGTGTCAGTAGTGCTGAAGTAGGTAAATCATGGATTAGGCTAATCAAGGGAGAAAAAAGTAAAGGTTATTACAGTTGTGTGTGTAAATAGTGATCATGAGAGAGAAAAATACACACACACACTTACACACATACATACACACATATGCACACTCACACATAAATAACAAGTATAGTAGGGTTGACAGTTGAGTAAAGATAAAATGTAAGTTCTAATTATATCAAAATTTTTGAATCAGACACAGGAGAAAGATGAGGTAAGATAAAGTAGCAGTTAAGCAAGATATATAGAATTTATTTCTGAAGAAACCTACACAGAAAAAGATCAAGATTTCCAGAAAAGTTTATGTGATGATTAAAAGTTAGATTAAAAGTTGACTTAGACAAAGATGGTGGTGCCTTAGCATTAATTTTGTCAGACTTTGTTAAAATGTTGACAATGTATAAAATACTACAGTTAACTGGTGCCAATTAGTCCTTTGAATATTGCTATTGGGTAAATTACTATAATCCAATGTTTTTCTAGGGCACCTACCCTCCTAATGGTATAAACATATTGATTGTAAAAGGAACTGGTGTATGCAGAATATATAAATGCAAATAATATTTTCCAATTAAGTTGTATGGATTAAATTACAGTTAACACTTACCAGTCAGCAGTGTTATTTGCCCACTTTAAACGATATTTTGTGTGTCATCCTATATAAAATATGCTTGGAATTGAATACCTTAAAACAAAATCTTCAGTACTTCTTAACACGTTAGAACACTTTTAATATATGTAGTATTATATTTTTATTACCTCATTTTATCAACAAAACATTTTACACCCTTTAAAAATTCTAAGATTATCTGTAAGAAACTTGTTAAACTGTAGAAATAAATTCTGTATTGCTTATATTTGAACAACTTCTCTTTTAATGGTATTTTTCTACTCCCAAAGATAACAGCATTTGATGGTGTACAAGAAAGTGAGCCAGTCATTGTCAATATTCAAGTGATGGATGCAAATGATAACACGCCAACCTTCCCTGAAATATCCTATGATGTGTATGTTTATACAGACATGAGACCTGGAGACAGTGTCATACAGGTAACTACTCACATAATATGTGGGCATTCTCAAAGCAGTTATTTACTTTGGTAACATACAATGTGTTCATTAAGAAATTACATTAAAAAAATTAATTTCATACTGTATAGTATAATTAGCTTAAAATAGCTTTAAATTTTTGTTACTTTTCTAAAAAGCATATATCTATAAGAATTCTAAAGGAGATTTAACTGGTTCTTTGAGGCAAACAGCTATTTGACTAGTTTATATTTGAATTTACAACATTTAGTATGTTAAATACATGTTTGAATATACTGAATATATAGTTAAATCTTCAGATCACTTTTTACCACTGTAGTAATTGATTAAATTTCAATTGGAGATAAATAAAAAAACTGACTTAGTCAGTTGGTGGATAATCTCACTAGATATTAGTTACCTGGATAAAATATAATCATTACGGCAAAGAAAATTTAAATTAGATAGTAAATGGTAACCTTGAACACATAAGTCATGCAACATCTTACTCCTGATTTATCTTATTTTTGCCATTAACTGAGTGTATTACATTTAAGTAGGTTATTTCAAACACACACACACACACACACACACACACAGACATACTTTTTTTCTGTATATCTTTTCCTCTCTCATCAAAATCATATCCCCTATAACAAATGAAATTATCTTATTCTTTCCGTCATTTTAAATTCAAAACTCAGTCGTTTTGCAACTTTGGCTGTCTTGTTTGCCTCTGTATACCAGCACATGGCAGACATATTAGCTATGCAGTAAGTATTTATTCCAAGGATAAATCATGGCCAGCTTTGCATTAATTGTTAATTAAAATTAGAAATAGCTCAATGATTTTTTTATTTATGAATTAAGATATGCTTTCTTGAGTTCTATAGAAGGGTGACATGATAGCCTGGGTACTAGAAATTCAATAAAATGTTTATTCCATGTGTAAATATCCTCTGCTCTGTATGTGACAAAGAGGGAAAAAAATGTTTCAAAATGCTACAGTAAATTTTTAAATACATTGGTGAGATGTTGACCACCACCGCCGGGGTCTGGCCTGCAGACCCTGACTCAATGACAGATGAATGAATGCACTCTCATACTATTACAGTGATTAAAGTGGGCTAGGGATGGCCATTGGCTGCTTTCAGAGGGCGTCTACCACCAATTGACCAAGACTCTTTTTTCATCATTACATTTATTCAGTAAAAGATTTTATAAAAGCGGCTCTAAGTCAACACACTTGTGGATAATTAACATGGTGAAAAGAGTGGTTTTACTAATAATAAAAGCTTTAGGTTCTGGGCCCAGAATAAACGCTATTAATGGGTAATTCCCCTTTAATCTCCCCCTGAGGGGGCCATCCAGCACAAAGTTTACATGAGTCAACAGAGTAGAGATAAAGGGTGTGAGATAAACAGACTTAAACTGGGAAGGTCTTTTTTGTCCCTGTCTCTTCCCTCACATAATGGATGGACTGCCTGAAACCTGTCTCAATAACACCTTTCAGCCTTCCAAAAGGATTGAGACTAATCTATAAATTTCCCTGACAATTTTCTAGTATTTTGCCAGCCACCCCAAGTGAATCTCAACATACTGGTATGGTACTTGTCACATTAATAAAAGTAATGTGTTTTAAACCATTTGATTTCAGGGCAGAACTATAACTAGTTTATTTCCATATCAGTGGCATCGGTATCTATATTTCTTGGCATATAGTAGATGTTTAATATAGTAGCTGCTGAAGGCAACAAAAGACACTCAGGACTACTAAGGAGAGAGAAGGAGAAGGGGCAGTGGTTAAAAACTAACTATTGTGTATTATGCTAAGTATCTGGGTGACAGAATCCATCATACCCCAAACCTCAACATCATGCAATATACCCAGGTAATGAATCTGCATATGTACTCCCTGAATCTGAAATAAAAGGTAAAATTATAAAATAAAATATAGTATAGCACCTTAATAAATACTAATTTGAGGATGAAAGAAAGGAAGACGCTTAGGCAAATAATAATGAATTAATGAATGAAGATATGAAAGAATGGGAAGCTTTAGATACATGGCTATTAGTTCTAGGCAATAGATGAACCATGAGAGCTACAGTTCTCTTTACTGAAGCACCTTTTCACGGGTAGAAAAGTCATAGTTTATAAAAATAAAAGAATGACAATTATTGTCATGTTCTTATTTAATTAGACCTGATTTTCGTCTCTATAATGACATAATTGGAAATGAAAGTAAGTTTACACAGAAAAACAGCCAGCAGGGAACTACAAAGTATAACTAAGGAAATCATAGCAATTATATGGTGAAACTCTATCTAAAAAATGTTTGCCTGAGGGGATCAAGGGCTTATTTTTCTTTGGCATTTACAAAAGTTAATTTCCCTTATATATCTCTTTGTAAAACAGATATTTCCTTGCCTTAAAGACTTATATTTTATATATTTCCCTGAACTATGTGGATTGTGAAGGTAGATTGTTGTTTGTTTCTACATGCCTGCAATTTTTGAAATTCTTTGAAGGTCTTCAAATGAAATGTTATAATTAGTATTTTAAGATTATTTCTGGTATGTGTTAGAAGAATGGTCTTGCTGTAAAACATCCTCCAAGAACCTAGACATAAAAAACATTCATTCTCATTGAGAGAATATATTTGAAACAAATTTTTGATATAGAACTCTGATCTACATATACCTTTTAAGAGTCATGACACAGGTCCCTATGCTATACCTCATCATAACCCTGCCTTTCCCCATTGACCAGAAACAGGATACATCAGTTTGCTTGGTAGTTAGTAAACTGATATCAAAAAGACTGAAAGTGTCTGAAACAAAAGTGACAATGAGCACTTTCAGGAAAAGAGACACTTGGGTAACAGGTTCGAATTACTGTCATTTTCAGTGCAGCCACAGGACTCTTAGCCTGATGTGAGTACATACTCAATTATTTAAGTACAATTTATTTTTCTTATTTACTCTTTATACAAGGAGCATATTGGTTGTCATAAAGTTTTAACCAGATCCTTGTTATAAGTTCTCAGTTATAAATTGAGCTTCTGACTTTTTGTATGTCTCTTACACTGGATTTTTGCAAAAAGGACTGGAGTGCTTCTCATGCACATCGGTCACGAACAGCACTTGGCAGAGCTGCCTTAAAGCAGCAGCATCATCTTCCATAACTGGAGCTAAAGTGTAATCACATTGTTAACACATATTTTGTTTAAGGGAAAATTACTGCATGAGAGTATTTTATTTTTCGTTCCATGTAGGTCATTTTATGAGATATCAGTGCAGTCTTATAGGCGACACTAATAAACACCATGCTCCATTGTTTAAGCTCTCACTCCACACATTACTAGCCTCCTTGAAACGACAATTACTCTTAATAAAAGATACAGATTTCAATATTTTGAAGCTGTAGATTTAAATACTAGTAGCTAGCTACCCAATTCTCCATAAACACTATTCATAAACATCTCCAATTCACTTTAAGTGTGATTCTCAATGATAACTGAATATTAGCATTCTACCTGAGGAACTTTTAAAATACTAAAACCTGCACTTCATTCTAAGATATTTTTATTAAACGATCTGGCCACCCAAAACAGAGTAACTTAGATTTTATTTAAGAAATGAAACAGTTCTAATATACAGCCAATTTTGAGAATTACAGCTTTAAACCACAACAATCTTTTTAAAAAACCACTGAATAATTGTACTTCTTAAGTCTTTAAGATGGAGTCCTATATAGAGTTGAGTCCTGTGATCCTCACGCCACCTCTTTCCATTCTTCTTGTGGATTTTAGTTCTCCTTCCCTTCTGTGATGCTTCTTATTCCACTTTCCTGCCATACAGTTCACTCCTTCCAATTTATGTGCTCCACCAATTACTCCATTTCTTTCACTGCAGCAATCTCTTTCTCTCCACTGACTCATTCCTTCCTTTTGCTCAATTAACATTCTTAACATCTGCAGGTTGTGGTCTAATTACCAATCTCAGATAAATTCTTATTTATTTATTTATTTATTTATTTATTTATTTTTTAAATTGCATTTTAGGTTTTAGAAATAGAAATTCCATTTGACCCAGCAATCCCATTACTGGGTATATATCCAAAAAAGTATAAATCACTCTACTATAAGGACACATGCACACAAATGTTCATTGCAGCACTGTTTACAATAGCAAAGACCTGGAACCAACCCAAATGCCCATCCAAGATAAATTCTTCATGCTGCTATCCTACTCTGATTATTTTCTTTATTGACAAAAATGTATCCATCTAAGTACCTGCATATATTCATCTGTATCTATCTTGATATTTGTATTTATCTATCTTGTCTATAATATAAGCTAGGTTTCACTCACATCACACCACTAAAATCATATAAAATTATATAGCCCTTAATCTATTTCTACATGTCAAACATAAAAGTCCTTAATCTTTGTGACACTTTCAACAATGCCCTTTTATGAAAACATTCTTGTTCCCATCCTACTTCTCTGTTGGCTGAGAGATGTTGCTGGCTCCTTGTTCAATTATCACCCTTTAAAAATTAACATTATTCAAATACCTATATATACTTCTTTTCTTTTTCTTCTATTCTCAAGTTTTCAATCATTACCTCTGTATATTCTTGTCTCCCAGAGTTAAATGCCCTATGATGACCACCTTCTGAAACACCAAGCTGGCCTCCCGGATATCAGCTGGACATGACAAAGTGGGTCTTACACAAGCACTTCAAATTGGACATATCCCAAAATACATTAACTAATCCATTATCTTTATTTTAGTAAACAAACACCCACACTCAAAAACATGCATCTAGTCCTGTTGGAGGAAGCTATATTGTGAAGCACACCATAAATCATTAGGTTCCACAGGCAGCAGGGTAGGTACCTTGCAGTCTTGTTTGTTTTCCCTCTACTTTACCTGCAAACATTCAAATTATTGTTCAGTTTAGGCAATTTCTATTTTAAAAATGTATTTGCAGATCATCATTTCCTCTCTTT